TAAGTATTCAGATATGATAAGTATATTAGATATTCCTTGTCTGCAAATTTGTGATAATTAACTTACAAATCTTAATTAATTTTAATTTTTTTCTGTTGCTGATTCCACTGCACAACTGCACGAGATTGAACACATAAAACTTTAGGTCAATGTACATACAGTGACGTCTACTTTTTGGCTGGTCAATCAATGCGCAAAACAATCATTAGCATATAGTGATAAGGTTGATTTGTGGCAAGGCAATAAATTAATTAAATAACGAGCAAAAGTATTATTCAATACCTTCTTCCGAAAAAGTGCGCATTGTAAAATTATTTCTGTGAGTGCGCAATATTCAGCAAGTGGAAAAATTCTTGTGAGCTGGGTGTGGGAAATCCCATTATTCTGGCAACTGCGAAATATGATAACTCTTCTGACACCCAATATTTGGCAACTCTCGGCGGTGCGATCTCTTCCCTGCCGGCTGAAATATGAGTCAATTATACTTCCGTACGCATAAATTAATGATTAATTGCAAAATAAATTGACTTGCGTCACTTAATTACGTAGCGCAAGCGACACTGGAGAAAGCTGATAGTGAAGGGGGAGCGCAGTTGTCACGCCCCGTGCAAAAGCCTGTCAGTCGTCAGCTTGTCAACGCATTCGCACACTTACACTCAGAAAAATAATCAAGTACTCAGCTTTTAATTAGAGTTTTACAAGGATCCGAAGTCTTTTAATTTTTAGAATTTACAAGGCAAGATACGCATACAAATTAGCTGTCAAAAACTATTTAAATAACTTTAAGAATATTTATTGGTATATTCCTGAATTCCTATGACATTTTATGTGTTTTATGTTACACTTTTTTTGTGTTAATTTTGGAAATTCTAATTAAAATTATTTTAAAATATTTTTTTAATATTACAATCTTTATTTATAAGCCATCAGAAGAGAAATTCGAGAGCCTTTTATAGTGGCAAAATAAGTTAACAAGTTGATTTTTTATAAGAATTTTTTGAGAATATTAAACAGTTCAGAATAGTTTTTTTTTTACTATTGATTTTTGATACTACAATTTTTTTGTTTAGTTAAAAAATGAAGCTAAAGTTTTGTAGTTTATTTCCCCAATTTCGATATCTAGCAGGACATGAAGTCTAATTTTTCCAAGTGTTCACCAAGAGAGGAAGGCACATGCACAGAACGGCAATTTCTGCTGTTGACATTCACAGTCAAACATGCTTAATTAATGCCAGCAACGTTGCCATCAGTCGCCAAACCCCCTCCGTCCCCTCCCTTGCAGATCCCTCGATAGTAAATGAGAGCCGGCGCAGTATGACAACATTAATGCGAACATTAACAAAAACTGCTGGCGCTGTTTCCCTGCTCACAGCTCCCAGCTCCCAAAAATAAACACTCGCAGGCATCATAATAATGATACATGGGCCAAGTCGAAGTCGGGACTTTCGAGTGAGTGGCCCGATGGATGATGGCACTCGCACTCGCACTCGACGCTCGTCTGGCTGCCAGCTCCGCTCCTTGATGAGCAGTTTCCGATGATGAGGCCATTCCCGTTCCCCGTTTCCCGGTCCCCATTACCCTTCCCCATCCCCACCCATTCCAATCCAATTCAGACTTTCCTTCATTGTCTGGCAAGATTCTCATAATTAAGCGGAATCGAATACAGTGGTTAAGGGTGCCATTTGTATTTTTACTTCATCATTGCAGACATTCCTTTTACTTTTACGACTTCCCAATTAATGCCTATTGTGATTTAATAAAAAAAAACATAATTAAACGTTTAAGTAAAGCTTCTCTTTTGTGAAATTGAAAAAATAAGGTCTAGGTCTAAAGAAGACTTGTACATAAATTTTAATTATTTTTTCTTAGAGTTTTCCTACATTTAAGAACCTAGAAACTAAACTAAAATCTTATCTATAGTTGCCATTGAAAATCACTTTTGTCCTTAGAAAAGCGTTGCATTAATTTACCTAATTAACCCTTTGGTTCCAATGTTCCCTCTGGTGCCTGATTTTTCACAAAAATCAATAAAAACCTTGCCAAAATGGCTTTCGCACCATTCCAGTTTATCCGATTTTTCTCGATGGGCTAAGGGGATGGGGAAGGGGATTGGAAAGGGGGGAGGAACTGGGGGACTGGCGAGCAATTAACGCTGAATTGATACGCACAGCTCGAAAGGCATTGAACCTTCTTTCAGTCCCCATTTAAGCGATGGCATTAAGACGTAATTAAAACAACGCCAAATGGGGGCAGCGGGGCCCTTTTGCAGCAGGCGGGGCACAACAAGGAGTCAAAAGATTATTTGTATTTAATTTCAAGTACGCTGTGCCAGGAAGCCAGAGACAGTTTTACTTGGCTCTCGCTCCCGCTGAACATAAAACTCAATTATAATTAAGCATTTAAGTGGAAAAATGCGAAGCTGGAGCAAATGAAGCGAACTCGGCTCCAAGAGAACTTCACCATCAGCGATGACAAGGATGCCACGGCCACGACCCCGCCCATTTTTATTAGTGGTAGCCAGCAGCAGCATCCTAATTGCTAAGAGCGCCACTCAAAGTTTCGGCAGGATAAGGAGGGTAACTCGAGCATGAGGCGTATTTAATTATCGTTCATCGCTCATCGCTGCCCATTTGTTCGGGGAGGATTCATCGGCGGCACACTGAAAACATGTTTGTTCTCCAATTTCTAAACATTTCTATATTAATGAAAAATACATATTAAAACGTTTAATTTAGAGACAGAAAAAAATACTTGGTATATAAGTTTCCCAATGCCAAATGTCCCATCTGCAAGTACTCTCAGACTACACTATTTCTAAATAACTCTAAATAAACCTTATATTTATATATTTAAGAAAATACTAATGTATAAATAATAAGTTCCTAAATACAAGTCTGTCACATTCAAACAAAGTATTCCTTAGAAATACTTATCTAAACTTAGATTCTAATTAACTATTAAATTACTTATTTTCTCTTAGTGTATAACATTAGCATTTACCATTTGTTAGGATACTGTTACACAATACAGGTTGCCATGCCAAAGGAGTAATTGTTACGTTAACTCATTTAATATGCCTGCCCAATGCATGCTGCAACCAGAAGCAAAAATAATCCCAATTAACAAAATCATTGATAGGGTCAAAGTATCATGGCCATCTATGTATTACGGCCAAATAGGTCAGGCATTTGGTAGATATTTATTTTTAACTGGCGTTTTACTCTTTTAGGCCAGTCAAGTGTAATGTATGTATATGTACGATATCTGACAACTGTAGAATGAAAATGGAAAATGGGAAACGAAAATGGACGGTTCAGGGATGTGAAATTTTAATGAACTTTTAAACGTAATGAAAGTAATTTTCAAATTGCAAGCTCCGAGAAAAAGGAAAGCCGAGAAGGGCAGGCATGCGGCTTAACTTATTTTTTTTTTTTTTTTTGCCTTAGTGAAATTCAATTGCGGCAGAAGTCGAGCGCTGGCAACTTTTATGCGTCCTTCAGACAGCCCAAGCAACCCGAGCCAAACCGAACACCACCAGAAAAGCCCATCCGAATGGCGAGCACTCGAAATGATTTCGGAATGGCATTGAATGTAGCATTTAATTTGTGCGCCACAAGCGGCGGCGATGAGGATGAAGTTGTCGGTGGTCCTTGGTCCGCTGGTCTGCTTATTCCTGCTATTTATAACTGTTTATTTGCCGTGTGCCACCAGCCGTACACTTCGAGAAAGTCCGACATGTGCGGTTCAATCAATACATTTTAAAGATAAATTTGTTGTAATTTATATAAATATTTTAAGCCACTATTGGAAATAATAAAAAAATTATTTCTGCTTAAGTTGATGTGAATAAGACAGAATTCAATTTTTTTATCGGTAATCCATTAAATTTTGTTTACTAATTCACGATAAACCAGTGGAGAAGGCAGGGTTTTAGGATCAACACCATCCCCAATCGGATTTAAACTAATACAAAATATGGATGCCTTATTGTTATTAACTATATATTTTATTTGAATTGCATTTGTATTTCTAGATATGTACTTATCCCTGCTCAAGGTACACAATTAATTACTATCAATTTAAAATTCAGGATTAGTTTCCCTATTTTTTTCCGTGAAGCTGCAGCTCGGGTCCTGTCTGCCATTGAAAGGGATTAATTAAACTGACAACTGACGTCTGTGGGTGGCCGCCGCTCTCTGTGCGTCCGCTTCGTTTGCAAAGTCCACAGCGGACTGTCTTTGAAGCCCGGAGTTCGGCATAATTAGTTAAATGTGCTTTGCCATAACAATGAGGAGAGCTGCCCAACACCACCCTGAACTCTTTGGGGTCTGGCCTTTATTTTAATTTAATATATCCTGCCATAAAGATCATCACAACGAACGAAGAAGAGAAGCTCTAATTGCCAAAATATGTAATAATTAGCCCCTACGAAAATGTTAAATAAAATTAATTAAGTGAGCAGCGAGAACGGCGGCAGCAACAAATCAGCCAAGGATACCCTGCTTACATTTATTTGCAGTTAGTCATTTCGGATGTGTTTGCCCAAAACACACTCACACACACGTATTTTAATATCATTTCTCCAGTACCGCTACCCCTCCCTCGCCCCCTCATCATCAGTAACCATGCCAACTCGCATGCGAAAAAAGCTCCTGACGCTCATTTGCCAGCAATTAAGTGCACAGAAAGAGATGGGGACATACATTTCAAATGGCGCCATCTGAACTTTGTCGATATATATATGTGTGTGTGCCTACGTACAGTAAATTAAGCTTAATAGGTTATTATACCGTTGCTTGATCATATTCGTTTTTTTATACATTTTTTTATTATTAATCAAACTAATAAACGTAATGTCAATTGCAAACTCCAAGGAATGGTTAAAAATAATTAACTTAGGGATATTTCCATAGCAAATGCCTATTTTCTGTACTTATATTTAAATATACTAAAATGCTACATTCCCCTGGGGTTCGTAATTCGAGTGCCCACTGTATTTATGTGCTCTCATCCCTGTAACGAAGATAGAAGCTCATGTGCGCGCGTGTGGGTATTTTAATTAGAAACTTGTACATTTTGCCTAATTTGACAAATTGTTTTAATATAGTGTGCAAACTTTTCGGCTACATAGCGAAGCAAATTAGTTTTCCCGTTGCCCGGAAATTGGGTCGACTTGCTGCTGATTGAAAAACCAATCGGCTGCGGCAACGAATGCAGTTTCATGTGCTGCGCAGAAAGTTATGCAACACTTTGTTGGCTTCGTTAATGCCATCACGCGATTATCTACCGCATCCTGGGGATTATTACAACGCAGTTCTCGCAGTTTAAAAATTAATTTCATTCACCAAACCCACTTTCAGTTAACCGCAAGTTCATGTGTGCTCAGCTTTTAATTGTTGCGGATGTGGATGGTTGTTTGAAAGGTCTGGATCACGAAAATGTATTTGCGTAGCTAATTGTCTGTTTACTATGCCCAAAGGAATTTGTAATATTATGCCCTAACATAGAATAATTTGCAGTATTTTGTATACTCCTTTCTACTCTTTTTCCATTAAAAGGCACTCTGTTCCCATTTCCGGCTATTTATAAACTCGTATATTTATCAAGTATTTAACCCAATATAGTGCTGTATATTAATTGCAGTTTTTGATGATTTTTAGCTTCATGATTGCCGCCCCCTTTTTGCAACCCAATTCATCATCAAACGGATTATTTTTGGCCATGGCAAAATAAACGAGAGATTTGTGTGATTTTCGCTTGCACAGCTTTTCCTTTATAGTTTATAGCTTTTGTTTACAATAAAACTTGGTACTTGGAAGTGGAAACATATTAGTCAATGGAAGCAAGTGCCTGAATGTAAACTAGAAATTGTATGAAGAAATTAAAAGCAATTTAAATGTTTAATCCCCATTTTATTTTAATTGAGAGTGAAGGTTTTTTTTCAGTAAAACAAAAATATGGAATGAAAAAGGGTAAACAAAAAAGAAACCTATTCAATTTTATACATTTATCGAAATTGTGGAAATATCTTAGGATGTATTAGCTTCAGATTCTGGTCCGTCTTTAATGGTTAACTTTTTGTAGAGTTCATCTAGCTGTTCTTTTTTGTGAACCATAGCTAAAGCTCGTTGATATCGCTCCTCCCAGGCTTCCGGATGAGATTTGGCCAGGACCTTGAGGGTTACTTCCACAGCTGCCTTGATGTCCTTTTCGGGGCTTTCGTGATAGAGCAAAAGCAGATCCATCGCACGTTTCACAAAAGCATCCCAGACCTCCTTTTCGTGTTCCGCTTCCTTCTCTGAGTCACTGAATTTGGGTTTCAATTTACCCACAGCCAAAGCAGCCAGGATACGAATACCAGCCGAAGGATCATCCATGCGCTGCATGGTCGCATAACCCAATGGTTTCAAGTCCTCCACAGACATTTCACGGAAATAAATTACCGCCTTGATGGCATAATGACGGGTGGTCACATTTCGATCTTCGAGTAAGCTAGGCATGTGCTTGGCTAACGAGGGTAAAACCTCCATGGCTTCAGATTCAGCTCCCTGAGCCAAAGCACATAGTGTAGCCATGGCCAAAGATCTCATGGCCTCGGCATTTGATCCAGCTTTCCAGGTCAAATAGGGCTCCACAATTTGCGATATAAATTCACTCAACATTTGAGTGCTGCGCTCACGTTCTATGTCCATGGTTTTCGACCAATAAAGCGTTGCCACGGAGAGACTGCTAAAGACTTTGACTTGAGCACTATCGCAGCAATGTTCGAAGACCAGCTTCACCTTTTCCATTAGATCGACTATATATGTAGCTCGAATGAGGCATATATTTATGAGACCATCTAGCAACAGCACTGGTTCCGCATTATCTTCCAAAGCAGCATCGAGATTCTCCACATCCTTCAGGGCCAAGGGAAACCAGCGCTCGTGAAGTTTGGCTTCCGAAATTTGTTCAAATTTAACAATTTTATCGATCAGCATTTTCCCCTCATTAATTAGGTTGCCGCTGAGAGAATATGAAAGAGCCATTACTTTTACAGCACTCACATAGACAGCCTCGTAGAGATCCTGCAGCTCCTCCTGTCCCGCATTGATCTTCAGCGATTTGTCCAGTATGGTATCCAAAAGTTTGAGTATGTATAGCTGAAAGCCTGGTTTCAGGGTGTGCGAATAGTCGGTGCTGCGAAGGAGTTTTGCCAACTTCATCATCTGATCGTAGCTGCCACCCAATGAAGAGGTGAACATGTGGTAGAAGCATCTCATGTAGGATTCCCTGGCATTCCGTTCCAGGCCATCGAAACCGTGGTCAATCCAGGCATCGTAGGACAATAGGCGACCCATCAAATCAGCCACCTTAGCAGCTTCAGCATTGACCTCTGCCACAGGATCGATACAGGCATGGGCCAAATCGCCGTAGATCTCAAAGAATTTGGCCGTCATTGCGGCCTCAGCATGCAAAACGAATTGATATAGGAGTTTCAAGGCGTGCAGACGAACATTATCCTTCCAGTCGCTAGTTTCTCGGGTTATAAGTTTCAGCAACCTCAGTGAACGTTGCACCAAACCTCGACATCCAATAGTGGGACGCTTGACATCTTTTGGGTAATTCTCCACTGGCAGATCGCTGATCTCCTGTTGACACAATTCGGCTTCATTTTCTTCGAAATACAGCTTGCCACACTTGAGCCACTGGGGGTAGATGTGGCTCAGAACCTCCGGTGATTCGTCCTTCAGGCAGCACAGCACCAAGGGTAGGATTCTCTCAAAGAAGGAGTAACGATCCAACAGTTCCATTAGCATAAGAATACCCATCTGACCCACTTCACGGCGAACCAAAGGCATTGTGTCCATTAGAAGAGGGGAGACCTCGTTGAAGAGCCTCTTCATTGCTTCACCACTGGCGTCCATGTGAAGACTCAGTCTGCCGATGGCTTCAATCGCAGAGATCCTGGCCTGCGCATGCTTGTGATTCAGCATTCCATATAGAGCTGCTTGTAGTGATTCCGTAAAGGGACGTAATTCCTGGGTATCTGCAACACGAGAGAGATTCACCAAGGTGGAGCATCCTTCGCGCTGAACCAGTGGATAGTCATCCTTGATGGATTTGATCAGAATCTTGACCACTTGTGGATAGCACTCCCTGAAGACGCCGACATTTCCCATTTTTGCATACTGGCGCACCATCAAATTGAGTTGGCCGATGTACAGCAGCCGAATTTCCTCGCTGGGCTCCACGGTCTCGGCTTTTCCCATCCGCTCTGCCAAAGTGGACACCACATTGAGCAGGTGGAAGTCCATGGGTGGCAGGCGCTCCAGAAAAGCATTTACCGCCTGAACGGCGTGATCGCGAACACTTTCGAAGCGATCATCGTAGGATTTCAGCAGATGGAGATACAGTTGATCGAAGCTCTCGGCCATTTTCTCGGTGCTCATGTTTTCAGGGGCATTTCGGCACAGATTTCGTAGTTCTTCCAGGACCTTGGTCTTTTGGCGACGGTCAGTGCCCTCCAGCTGCTCACAAATCTGCTGGGCATCAATCTCAAAGCTCATGGTGATTTTTGTACAGTCTTGTATCGATCAAAGCTAAAACTTTTCTTTTTCTTTATTTAAATTTTAGTAAAAGTAATGTATTTATGATTTTATATTTTGAGGGGTATTTCCCATCCTAAAGATACTTTTCGATGGAAATTTCACTTCTTTTTTAGGGTTTGAATATTATAAAATATTTAGCTGTCTGTTTTTGAAATAAGCCGATTTATTAGTATTTAACTTTTAGGTTTTGTGATATCTAGATGTTTTTTAATATTTTCATTATTTGTATCTTATATTTCCGTTCTGGTTGGTTGATTTTATCTTGTATTTTTGTTTTCCTTTTGCGAATGTTTTTAGCAGCTGTTGATAACTCATGTATTATTTATTCTCAACTTGAAGATACACTTTCGCGCTCCTGAATTCAGATACTTTTTGCCGGTTGTTGGAGCTTCGTGTGATTTTCAGTTCTTTCAGCTTTCTAAGCTGCAAAACGAGAATATTTGAATGTTAGTCAAACAACAAACACACCGGTTGCTATGACTACACAAAAGATAACGCACTTTCCCCTCTCTTCAACATTATTTTTGTTTATTTTGCCCAAACAAAATTACACGGCAACGTGGTGCAAACAAAATGCTGAACATACTGAAAAGTGATCAGCTGTTTTGTGGCAGAAAGTGTTGCGAAACCGGACAAAAAAGTGCTGGAAAGTTTTTTGGCTTGGCGCGCCTTTTGAAAAAGCTGTTGGTTTTCTGTTTGAACTGCTGCGGCTGGTTTATTTGCCCAGCTAATTAAGTCAGATACATAAATGAAATTTCTCGGGAAAAAAGCAAGGGAGCAGGAAGGCAGTCTTTTTTATGAGTTCGGCTCTGGCGGCGATCCATAAAAGTTTCTGTGCCGCTCGTGGCGCATTCGCTTATCTGCGAAGCGGGCTATCTAATTGCGTTGTCGTTCCTTATCAACATCAGTCCAACAGAACGACAATATCTAAGATTGATTGCCGGCACAACCGCTTTGGGGGTGAGCTTGCTCACCCACCAACCCACTAAATAACTAGTCAACCGACCGACCGACTGATTGACTGTGTTTGATGGAAGGAAATCACATAAAATGTCTATTTTTATCGCAACTTAATTGCATTTGTGGGTCACCGAAATTAGGGTTATAATGGGCTACACATGAAAAATGTGGGGCTTGGTCGTAGATAACCAGAAAAATGGCAGTATCGATATCGAATGATATTGTAATTAGCCTAGCAGTCAATTTGGTGAATATCATGGAAAGATCACTTTTATGAATTTACTGATTTAGGTTTTGATTGAATCTCTTGATAGCACTTATTAGCATAAAAAAACTTTGAAATTTATATTTAATTAAATTCCTCATAATAAGATAATCATGAATTGCGAAGGAAACAGTTTGTATTTTAAAAATCTTCCTTAAGATAAAAAATATAAAACCGCATATTTAATAATGTTTTTCTATGAAATGAGATGGATTTTAGACTAGATTGTTTTAATATTTTGATAAGGTAAAAAGGTTTCCCAGCATTTCAATGCGACAATCGGTTTCTTTTGGAGTGTGGGAATTTTGACGATCTCCTGTTTTGAACTCGTTATGAAGCCAAGGAAAAGGAAATGTTGCCGTGGATATTAATCCAGCCTGCCTGCTATCCGATGTTGATCTTTCCATTTGAATTTCATTTAATGCCTGTGTGTGGAATATTTTTTGTTCCCTGTTTTTGTTCAATTTCACTTTCGTTATCCCATCTGTAGGGTTGCTAGATTGGCGTGCCCATTTGAGTTTGCCGGGCATATTTTATGAGCGTTTCTTTTTCTGTCCTGCCTTACCTATATGCTGTCAAAAATTGTTGTTGTCATTTTTATTGAAAGCCGACGCAGATACACAGATATGGTGGGTAAACACAGATACAGATGTAGGCACAGATACAGTTACAGTTGCAGATACAGATACAGATACAATGGCGAACTCATAAGTTTTGCTGCTCCCATTTGTGTGCACAATTCGATTCCATACCTTTTTGTGTGCGACGGCAGGCGGCACACGCTCCAAAGCAATTAAGCGCATGAATCAGGTTCGTTCGGTTTTTCAGGGCAGGGCAATGTATCCGCGTATCTGTATGCCTCAGCGCTTGTATCTGTATCTGTGGGCTGTGAGCCTGTGTCTGTAAATGTATCTGTATCTGTGAGTGCGGCGTGCGTTTTTTATGGGCAACAGACACCGGCACAATAAACTTAATTGATATGAAATGAAGTCATTTGGCAAAATCACTGGAAGAGTAATGGACCGCGCTCATTCAATTTGATTTGATGTCGGCCAGTTCGCCCCGACAACAAAGTTATACCAATATACTCATACCACACATATATGTTGTGCAAATTTATTTATATTTCATTTTTTTATCGGCTTTTCGAAAGCAATTGAGCATATGCGGTATTTACATACATCTGCATATGCATCATGCATGTGCGTTTTTCAGGCCAAAAGAGTTTTCAATTAAAAGTTACAATTTTTTGCGCCGGCAAAGTGCGGAAGCCGTCGCACCGCCTCGAACCCGTCTGAACCAGTTGTCTGCCTGCAGATAAGGCCAAAAACACCGACCAGCTGGCTCATAATGGTCATAATTATTAATTAGATATACGGATACCATGGCTGTAGTTTTGCAAAAACCCGCTTACGGTCCAATTTGCCCGCTTTGCGAGCACTTAAATGGACTTGTTACCCCTCGGAGAGTTGCCTGAATGCAAATTTGCCAATTGATATTGATTGAATTGCAGGCTGCACTGGCTAATTAGTTTTATTTTCCAACTGTCCGTTTAAGTCGTCTTGGACTTGATTGAGTGAGTGTTTCTGTTTGTGTTTGTGGCTGTGTGTTTGTGCTTGTGCTTCGATTTCTCAGAAACGCTGATTAGAAATGTTCCTAATGGCTTGACTTTTGTCGCACTTTTCTGCCAAACAGCCCCAGATTGCGATGTGTAAATGATGGGGTGAGTGAAATAAAACGAGTCCCAGTCCTGTTCCCCTGTTTTCTTTATTTTTATTCGCCGCTATATAAGCAAGTGCTGTGTGGAAGTGGCTCCTCCAGCCCCCCATTTGGCATTTCATATTAATGTGCGCCGTTTAATTGCGTGACTCATCAGCGGGCCTGTAATCGCATCTGCCATCATCATACGTCGAGCTGGTTGCTTATTTGCCGGAGCTGTCTGCTGGGTACTCTCGTACTCGCAAGTCTACTTTTGGAGCACCGGGGATTGGAATCCGGGGATCGGGATGGCGGACTGGGTCTTTGAGCTGGAGCCGCCTCGCCGACTTTTCGAGTTTTAGGGGAAGAAAGCTCGGCTCGTAATTAATAAACAAACTCAGATGGCAGGCAATTGAAGCCCATGAACAACTAATTGATATTGATCACTTGAGGAGGAGCAGGGCTTCAGATTTAGAATACAAATATTTGCCAAAGCAAAAAACAATTTACAAATGTCCATTCAAATTAAATCTAAATAATTTTTAAAGAAACATTTTTCTGATTTTTACAGACTGATTAAACTTGAGAAAACTTTACATATAAATGCAGTCATCTTGAAAATTGTGCAATATAATTTGTTTACAAGAATGTATGTATGTTACAATTTAAAATGAAATATACCCATAATTAAACCAAAAGCATTAGCACTGTTTCGCATAAATTTAACATTAATGTATACTTTATTCATTAAGGTCTAAATAAGTTTTCTGAAATTCATAAACTTTATTAACGAGTAAATTTAACCACATTATTAGGGTAATTATTATGGTAGTAAAACAATATATTTGAAAATGTCCATGACATTTTTTTTGAACAATTTGCAATTAATAAGCTTAGATCTCATGTAGAATACATATTTTATTGACCAATAACATTCCCCATATAATGAAAAATTGGTGATTAAGCATATCAAAAATGTTGAGAGCCGATTAATGGCCTATAGACCCATTTGTTTATGCATTCTGTTTTCAGTATAGCTATTGCATTTATTTTCATTATTTGTTTATTCTCGTTATTAGCGTGAAAAATGCAGGCAGTCTGAGTGTGTGATTGTAATGAGAGCTACAAATGTTTTTTTCTGTTTTTGCATATAATTTTTCCTATTTACATTTTTGCGTAATCGCCGCGAGCCCCATTCAAATGCCAAATGGCTGAGCCCGTGTTCTGTTTGTGCAGTCGCATAGTTTCCACCATATAGTATATATATAGATTCATATACCACATGTAAGTGCGGCGGATCCAGACTGACCAGTTCCAGGCTATTTCATGCCATGGCAATCCATTCATTCATCGCGTCAAGTGTCAGGCCGTCTGTCAGTCAATCAGAAAACGGTTTGAGTAACAATTTAATTAATTTCAGTACGAAATGCGAACCTGTTGTGCCATAGATATTTGATATCATATAGTGCTCGCACACACAAAATTCTGTGGCTCTGAATGAAATTGCCATTTAATTATGCCTAATACTCGTGACATGACTCAATTAAATGCCATATTCGGACGATGACTGGGACAATTAGTTGGAACCCCTTCCCAGATAATATCGGATTATAGATAGAGATTCACAATTCGAGCGAAAGAGAAAGCTCATTTCGTACTCATATTAGTTTTTCTTATCTCTCTGTATGGTAATTAACACAAACACAGACAGAATATGGAGTATCTGTGAAACGAATCAGCTTGTACGGTGAGCTGAAAACATAATCATAGGTGCGGCACTCAAAGATAGAGTGCTTTTTCATAAGAGTAGTTAATTCTGAAGTCTTTAGATCTAGGCTGTAAATGGAATTAAGGGTTCTAAAAAGAGTAGCCAAAATAGGCTTAATAGAGTTTTAACCCTCCATGTTCCCATATTTTAGGGCCTTTCCGATACCCTCGATATTCCCTTGTTTACGCACAAATAAATGCGCAGTCATTGACAATTCGGTTTCTTTTAGCAATATTATGTGTGCGCAATCATTTGTTTACATTCCGTATAGTTGCGGCAATTGACAGTGCAATGTTTCCCCAATTGCGATTACTAAACTGGTAATAAATGGCAGAGTGCTGAGACAGGGCATATGTTCAGCGACAAGGGCTTGGAATGGGACAGAATAAATACGAGTTTTCAGCAAATTTCACCGTAGTCATCATGCCGGAAACACTAAAATCAACAGCATTTACAAGAGCTGGCGAAAAGCAGCGGCATCATCATGAAATTGAAATTAATTATATGTCAACAACGTGATTACAGAGAAATTTAACTAATTTGATATCGTTGATTTATACTGAGCTAAATGGGTTGATAAGATAAGATTTTAAGTAATTTATCGTGTTTCGATGGTCAATTAATTTTGAATCAAGTATTTGACTTTCTATTTGCTTGGCTGGAAAAAATTAAATGCAAACAAATAAAAGTATAAATGCATAATTTTGAAAAAAAATTGGTTCTTATCTTATGTAAAGTTTTCATTTTTATACCCGTTACTCGTAGAGTAAAAGGGTATATTGTATTCGTGCAAAAGTATGTAACAGCTAGAAGGAAGCGTTTCCGACCCTATAAAGTATATATATTCTTGATCAGGGTCACTAGCCGAGTCGATATAGCCATGTCCGTCTGTCCGTCTGTCTGTCCGTCTGTCTGTCCGTCTGTCTGTCCGTCTGTCTGTCCGTCCGTATGAACGCTGAGATCTCGGAAACTATAAAAGCTAGAAGATTGGCATTTGCATGTAGATTTTAGGAGTTCCTACGCAGCGCAAGTTTGTTTCAAACTGGTGCCACCCTTTAACGCCCACAATCGCTTATATACGATTTTAAAAATTTAAATATTTCGGAAAAGTAAAAATGCAGTTTTATTGTGTTTATCAATACCTATCGAAATGTAGAAGAAATTTTTCAAATCGGACCATTCGTTAAAAAGTTATGCGTGATCAAAGTTTCTATCTCCATCTCCCTCGCACTCCCTTTACCTGCGTAACGGGTATCTGATAGTCGGGGCACCCGACTATAGCGTTCTCTCTTGTTTTATTTTATGACATTGATAAGCAGATACCCATTTGTTTCGACATGACATGATAATAACTCATCATTTTTTTTACTGATTGACAAGAAAAAAATATCATGTTGATAATGGTTAAAAAGGTCAATAAAATAAAATCAATCGAAAA